TGGGTGACCTTGGACACGCCATGACCCTTCACTAGGCCCTGTTATTCTTCTATGTAGACAGGCTTAGCTACAACCCTCAGCTCAGAATGCCCTTGGGGAGGAGATTAAATGTGGCCGTGGGCACGCACCTGCCTGGCACTCTGCCCAGAGCTGAAAATTTGAGTGTGTGCTAAAGGTGGTGTCAGTGGTCAAGGGACAGCGTACATGGTGTGATGGGAGAGGAGTCAAACAGGGAGGATCACAGCCGGTGCCTCTCATATCAAGCACCCCAGTGAAGCGAGGGCGGTCACTGGGGCAGTGCCAGGGTCTCAGATGGACAGCAGACATGGACGCCACACTGTTGGCTCGAGGAAAGTCCCTCCGATGCCTCCAGCTGTGCTTAGACTGCTCTGAGGTCTTGGCCCACCGGGGCTCTTGTGTGCCTGGCTCTTCCATAGCAGGCTCTGAGCCAAGGGTCCTCAAGCTTCATCTGGGCCTCCCAACACCAAATATAGGGCCAGACACACGTCACGAGTTCAGGTGGTGGAACTACCACAACAATGGCCTGTCTCACGTTCTGCCCCAACCACAGTCCCATCTCTTCCCATCTCCTCCAGCAAGTTCGCCATAACCCCGGCTCCTCCTGTGCCAGCCTTGACCCTGGAAGCCCTGATCCAGGGACAGTCCCCACTGTGTTTCTGTGCCAGCCCCCACACACCCTCAGACCCTTGCTGATGTGCCTGGCACACGGTGGGTACAGACGACCTACTAGGGGACGGGCCAGTTGCCATGGGCCACCAGGGGACAGACCCGCTGATAAGAAGGGGCTGCAGATGGCCTTGGGGCCGCCACTCCTGGGGAAGTGTGTCCCGCTCCCTGAGGACAGAGCCAAAGACACACATTGAGGTGGGGCGCGGTTCACTTCCTGCTGTGACCTCATGTCCTATCAACTCATCAGCTTGTGTCTCTATAAAGTTCTACAGTAAAACAAAAGCAACTATGTTACCACGGACGCCATTCCAGAATCAATCAGGCCTGGCTCTGGTTGGGCAGGGGGTCCTGGGTGGAGATGACTTGGGTGATGGCTTCACATGTGTGCGCAGACGTCCAACCCCACTGAGTCACGACTTTGATCACACCCCGTGTGTCGTAGGGCAGGTATACAGCCACAGAGCTGTTAGAAATGAATCAGGGAGGGACGCCTGGGCAGCTCAGGGTTGAGCGTCTGCCTTCGGCCCAGGGCGTGACCCTGGGGTCCTGGGATCGAGTCCCACATCGGGCTCCCTGCATGGAACCTGCTTCTCCCTCTGCCTGGGTCTCTGCCTCTGTGTGTGTGTGTGTGTGTGTCTCATGAATAAATAAATAAAATCTTAAAAAAAAAAAAAAAAGAAAAGAAAAAGAAAAGGGAGAGAAATGAATTGGGGAAAGCGGGAGCGGCCTGGGCTGTGATGCTGCTAGAGTTCCTGACAGTCCCGCACCGCGGCTGCCCGGGCTTCACCGGAGGCTGCCCATCCGGCCTTGATTCTCGGGGCTGTACTCCAGGGAACTCCAGTGCCCACATGTTGGGCAGAGTTGGGTTTCAGAGTCAGATATAAATTTATGACAGCCCAGCAGAGCTCTGGTCGGCAGTGTGGGGTGTGGACGAAACTGGCCTCCAGGATGGTGCAGCCACCCCATGAGCCGTAGGACGTCAAGCGTCCCTGGCCCTGACCTGCTAACTGCCCCCGATGGACAACAGGACATAACTGACCACGGAAGTGTGTCCATGGAGGCGCAACCCCAGCCCAGGATCCTGCCCGCTGAACTGGAAAGGCGTGTTGGGCCCGGAAGTGATGCAGGAGGGCAGGGAGAGGGGAACCAGCACGTGGGCACCTTAAGTGCAGAGGCCACTCTCTCCCTGTGCCCTCGTGGCCTGGTCACTGCGTCCCCCCACCCCGCCCGCCCACGTCCCCTCGGCGGATTGGCAGGCCAAGTGGATGAGCGCTGCAGCGAGGGTGGGGGAGATGAAAGTCCGGAGCCCAGTAGAGGGGGGGGCCTGGTGACGATCAGGGGCTCACACTGCCCCTCTGTTTCAGACAGATCACCAGAATCTTTTGGGGAGAAGGAAGCATTGTTCCAGGCGGGCAACAGGGGCTTTTTTGTTCCCAGAGCCCTCGCAACAAGGACTAAGCTGTTTTCTTGCTCTGCTGTGTGTCCAGTGGAAGGAGACGCGGAGGGGGAGAGCTGTCAGGGGAGCCAGCCGCTCCACGACCAAACAGCGGCAGCATGAGTGCAGGGGGAGGGGCAGGGTGGGCCTGGCTCCTGAGGGCCCCTGGGAGGCCTGCACGCTCCCGCAGGGACCACACAACCTCCCCCCACCCCACTCTCCACGGTGATTCCAACCTCCACACACAGCTCCCCTCCCCTCTCATCTTATCTAGAAATCCTGAGGCTGGGGGTGACCTACCCCTGGCCCCTTCCTATCCGCAAGCAGAAGGACCAGCAGGCCTCGGCTCTTATCCGGGACAGGGCACCCCTGCTGCTGCTCAACCCCATCTTGGCAACTTTCTTCCCCAGAATTCAGGCTTCTTACACACCTTTATCTCGGTGCATCAAACAGGCCAATCCTGCTGACCCCCCAGACTCAAACTGGCAGACACTCACACAGAGAGGGCAGGTGGGGCTTCTCCTCTGTCCTGGGGACCCTCCCAGGGAATGCTGCGCGCTCACGTTTTCTAATTCCCAACTGCCCTGTCCACTCCTCCACCTACTGAAGCATGGTTTTTGTCACACATTTGTGATATAATAAAAAACATTCATTTGTCTGCTCCCAATTCCCAACACGGGACCCCAAAATCCCTTGAAATCTCTAGAGTGGTAAGAGGATGTTGGTTGGAATGAGATGACTGGGCATTGCTTCAGGCTGCGGGGTGGTCAGCAGAAGCTTGGAACCTCCAGCCCTACCCCACATCCTCCGGGAGGCGGGAGGGGCTGGAGATGGAGTTAGTGATGCATCGTGCCTACGTGAGGAAGCCCCTATAGAGTTCCCAGCAGTCGGGGCTCGGGGAGCTCCAACTCCACGGGGTCCCCCCAGACCTCACCCCATGTGCATCTTCATCCAGCTGTTCATCTGTATCCTGTCTCATAACCTGCATCATGGCATGAACTGGTATGTGTGAGGGTTTCCCGTGAGCCTCTAGAGCAAGTCACTGAACCCTAGGAGGGGGTGGTGGGAGCCCCAACTTACAGCCACCAGGTCAGCAGCACAGGGGCTGGATGTGCGGCTGGCATGTGGGCGGCGCCTGTGGGGCTGTGGCATTTGCCCCCCACACAGTGGGACTCCCAGCTGCCCCCCAGAGATTGGCCGGTGCAGGGAATCTGCACAGTTGGTGTCAGAGGTGCTGGGAGTAGGAAGCGTTTGCTCCTGGTACGTCTCTCCGAGGCAGCATCCCGCAGAGGACCCGTGGAGGCCGGGGCTCTGGCCCACGGGCCTGGGTGGGACTGGTCTCCTCCTTTCTGCTTGAAACTGCTTCCCCCTTGGCCTTGGCCGAGTGCTGCTCTGCTGAATGCTTCCTGGGATCTGCCCTCCACTACCCAGGCCCTCTCCTGCATCGTGCGACGCTTCCTCGAGTGCCAGCCCCCTGGCTCACGGGGCGGTTTCCTTCCTAAATGTGTGCTCCAGGCCGGTGTAGCCAGTGGTGAGGCCGTGTGAGGAGCGGGGGTGGGCCGGCCCGACCCTCAGAACCCCACGCGTCTCCCGCCGGCCTGCCGTGGAATCTAGGCCGGGGCTCTGCCCGTGGGCGTACGAGGTCACGGGAGGAGCAGGGCCGAGCCTGTGGCTGCTACTCTGTCTCCAGCTTTTATCTGCAGGCTGTGGAGACCAAGGCAAACTTGGCTGTGGCAGCCGATCACACTACAGTTTAAGTACTGGAGCAATCCTAAAGCTTGCCTGTAAAAGACTTCTAGGATGCGGATCATTACAGAGCAGAAAGGCCAGCAGTTGATGAAATGAGGCCAAACAGTCCCAACAGATGTTGCACCTGAGCTGCCATCCAAAGGGTGTTCTCTCGCCCCTGGTGCCCCTCATCCCTCCTGCTCCAGGGAGCTCCAGGTCCTGGACCCGTCCTCCACCTGCGGGGCAGCGGGCCCTGCGGATGCCCAGGACTTCTGTGTCCACCAGAGGGACCTCTGCACCCGAGGAGCACTTGCCCTCCTTTCCCCCAGTGACTTCCAGGACTCGGTATGTCCCTGTATGGCTCTCTTCCTTCTGTTTGGGACCCTCCAGCCCTACTGTTAACTTAGTTAAATGAGGTGGGGGCGCCTGCCCGGCTCAGTCGGTAAAGCAGGCAACTGTTGATCTCGGGTTGTGAGTTCAAGCCCCACATGAGGTGTAGAGATTCTTTAAATAAATAAATCATTAAAAAATACTGTAGGATGAGGTGTTTACTCCCTAGAATGAAGATGTACTGAAGCCTGCAATACCGGGAGTTGACAAGTCTGTGGAGAAAGTAGAATCTTCATGCCTTGGTTATGGGAGTGCCTATGAGTTTGGTTTTTTCTCAAAGATTTTATTTACTCATGAGAGACCCAGAGAGAGGCAGAGACGCAGGCAGAGGGAGAAGGAAGCAGGCTCCACGCAGGGAGCCTGATGTGGGACTCGATCCCGGGATCACGACCCGAGCCAGAGGCAGAGGCTCACTACTGAGCCCTCAGCAGATAAGCCCCTACGGGGGTCTTATCTGGAACAGTCTGCAGTGTCTCATACCTTGAGCCGACACTGAGCATCTGGCTCAGCGTTTCCACTCCCAGGCGTTCACCCCAACTAAATAAAAATGTGTGTCCACTGAAGTCTTGTAGGAGAATTAGCTTGGCCGCTTTCTTTGGAGGAGTCGCAGCTGGAGACAACACAGCCGCCTGTGGACACATGAATCCTGTTCTGTTCATACAATGGGCTGCTACTCAGTAATAGAAATGGAAAATACTGATAAATCTGCAAACATTATGCCAACTGAAAAGGGTCAGACACATGGGAATGTGCGTTCCTAGTGACAGGGGTCGTGACCCAGAAGCAGCGCCTGGTGGTGATCCCGGTGACCTGTGACCCCGGTGACCGCGGGGGCTGGTGGGTCCCTGGGGCGGTGACCCCGTGACCGGGGGAGCTGGTGGGTCCCTGGGGCGGTGACCCCGGTGACCGCGGGGGCTGGTGGGTCCCTGGGGCGGTGACCCCGTGACCGGGGGAGCTGGTGGGTCCCTGGGGTGGCGACCCTGGTGACCGCGGGGGCTGGTGGGTCCCTGGGGCGGTGACCCCGAGACCGGGGGAGCTGGTGGGTCCCTGGGGCGGTGACCCTGGTGACCGGGGGAGCTGGTGGGTCCCTGGGGCGGTGACCCCGTGACCGGGGGAGCTGGTGGGTCCCTGGGGCGGTGACCCCGGTGACCGCGGGGGCTGGTGGGTCCCTGGGGCGGTGACCCCGGTGACCGGGGGGCTGGTGGGTCCCTGGGGCGGTGACCCCGGTGACCGCGGGGGCTGGTGGGTCCCTGGGGCGGCTGACCCTGGTGGACCGCGAGGGAGCTGGTGGGTCCCTGGGGCGGTGACCCCGGTGACCGCGGGGGCTGGTGGGTCCCTGGGGCGGTGACCCCGGTGACCGCGGGGGCTGGTGGGTCCCTGGGGCGGTGACCCCGTGACCGGGGGAGCTGGTGGGTCCCTGGGGCGGTGACCCCGTGACCGGGGGAGCTGGTGGGTCCCTGGGGCGGCGACCCCGGTGACCGGGGGAGCTGGTGGGTCCCTGGGGCGGCGACCCTGGTGACCGCAGGGGCTGGTGGGTCCCTGGGGCGGTGACCCCGGTGACCGGGGGAGCTGGTGGGTCCCTGGGGCGGCGACCCCGGTGACCGCGGGGGCTGGTGGGTCCCTGGGGCGGTGACCCCGTGACCGGGGGAGCTGGTGGGTCCCTGGGGCGGTGACCGGAGGAGCTGGTGGGTCCCTGGGGCGGTGACCCCGGTGACCGGGGGAGCTGGTGGGTCCCTGGGGCGGTGCGACCCCGGTGACCGCGGGGGAGCTGGTGGGTCCCTGGGGCGGTGACCCCGGTGACCGCGGGGGCTGGTGGGTCCCTGGGGCGGTGACCCTCGGTGACCGGCGGGGGGCTGGTGGGTCCCTGGGGCGGTGACCCCGGTGACCGCGGGGGCTGGTGGGTCCCTGGGGCGGTGACCCCGGTGACCGGGGGGCTGGTGGGTCCCTGGGGCGGCGACCCCGTGACCGGGGGAGCTGGTGGGTCCCTGGGGCGGCGACCCCGGTGACCGGGGGAGCTGGTGGGTCCCTGGGGCGGCGACCCCGGTGACCGGGGGAGCTGGTGGGTCCCTGGGGCGGCGACCCGGTGACCGCGGGAGCTGGTGGGTCCCTGGGGCGGTGACCCCGGTGACCGCGGGGGCTGGTGGGTCCCTGGGGCGGCGACCCTGGTGACCGGGGGAGCTGGTGGGTCCCTGGGGCGGCGACCCCGGTGACCGCGGGGGCTGGTGGGTCCCTGGGGCGGCGACCCTGGTGACCGCAGGGGCTGGTGGGTCCCTGGGGCGGTGACCCCGGTGACCGCGGGGGCTGGTGGGTCCCTGGGGCGGCGACCCCGGTGACCGGGGGAGCTGGTGGGTCCCTGGGGCGGCGACCCCGGTGACCGCGGGGGCTGGTGGGTCCCTGGGGCGGCGACCCTGGTGACCGCAGGGGCTGGTGGGTCCCTGGGGCGGTGACCCCGGTGACCGCGGGGGCTGGTGGGTCCCTGGGGCGGTGACCCCGAGACCGGGGGAGCTGGTGGGTCCCTGGGGCGGCGACCCCGAGACCGGGGGAGCTGGTGGGTCCCTGGGGCGGTGACCCCGGTGACCGGGGGAGCTGGTGGGTCCCTGGGGCGGCGACCCCGGTGACCGCGGGGGCTGGTGGGTCCCTGGGGCGGCCCTGGGGCGGCGCGGGGAAGGCAAGGAAGCCGCGGGCCGGGACGCGGGTGCCGTGGGCCGTGGGAGCTGGCGCAGGCGCACGGCGCTGGCTGCAGCAGCAGAGGGCACGTCAAGGTCGCGGCCCGGGTGTTGGGCCCCAGGACCCTGGAGCGTTCCGAGGCGCGGAGGCGGAGGCGGAGGCGGAGGCGGAGGCGGAGGCGGAGGCGGAGGCGGAGGCGGAGGCCTGCCCTGGGCTCTCGGATTCCCGCGTCCTCCCTCCCGGCGGGCAGAGCCCCAAGGCCTTGACCGCGGCTCCCCTCCGCAGCGGCACCCGGGGGCGTCCCCGTCAGCCTCGATCTTAAGTGACGTCGCCCTCAGGCCTAGGGTCCCGCGTCCGTCCCTCCTCGGCTCAGGGGCGCGGGGCGGGGAAGCGGGCGGGGGCCTCAGTCGTGCAGGAGCTGGCCCCGCCGCGGGCGCTCGTGCCCACCCCGGCGCCCCGGTCCCGTCCCCTTCCCCCTCCCCCTCCCCCTCCCCCTCCCAGGGGCGGGGCGAGCGACCAGCAGCCCCCCCAGCTGAAGCCCGCGGGCGGCGGTCCGGGGCGGGCGGGCTGCGTCCGGGCTCCCGAGCGCAGCGGGCAGGGCGGGGCCCGAGTCCTCCCGGCGGAGGAGAGCGCGACCCGGCCGCGGGCCTGCTGAGGCGTCCGGGCGGGCCCACGACCGCGTCCCTCCCCGGCCACGACCCCCGACGCCCGGGCGGCCCGCGGCGGCCCGCGGCGGCACTTCCGGTTCCGCTTTCCGAGGCCCGCCCCCCGGGCCGGCGCGCCCAATCCGGGCCAGGCGCGCTCTGGCTGCGGCCAATCAGTGACTGCGTCCTCCGGACCGGGTCTGAGGAGGCGGCCCCAGGACGGGGGGAGGGCAGGGCAGGGGAGGGCAGGGCAGGGCAGGGCAGGGAGCCGCACGGGGCGGGGTGGGGGGGGCGCGGGGAGGGGGACGGAGGAGGGAGCCGCACGGGGCGGGGGGCACTGCGCAGGTGTGCGGCTGGGTGACCGCCCTGGCACCAGCGGGAGCCCCGTGGCCCCCCGCAGGTGCAGCGCCCGCCGTGCCCGCCGTGCCCCCGTGCCCGAAGGACCGAGAGCTGCCGACCAGCCCTGTTCCCCTCCCCGCCCGCCTCCCCTACGCGCGCCCCGCCCAGCGCCACCGCGCCCTCCGTGGGCCTCGACTTACCCGTCCGTGCCTCTCTTGAGGTGCCTCGGGGAAGCTGTCTTTGCCTCGCGGGGCCCAGAGTCTGTCTACCAGGCGGGGCCGTGAAGTCCGAGGACGGGCGACCGGAGGGGGTGCGGGGGGGGGTCAGGGGTGCGCAGGGAGGTCCCCCGGGCCGGGCCCGAGGCCGCGCAGACGCCGGGCAGGGAGCGCTCGGCACGGGGGAGGCGATGGCCCTTGGGGCGCCCGCAGGGCCAGGGAGGCCGAGGGGCGCGATGCCCCGGGTCATGGCAACCCAGTGACCAGCGAAAACCCCCACCTCCGTGACCAAGTGCCTCGAGGAGACGGGCGAGCAGTGCGCGTCCGGAGGGATGGAGTCCCGGAGTCCCGGAGTCCCGGAGTCCCGGAGTCCCGGAGTCCCGGAGTCCCGGAGCGCAGGCGGGAGGCCCCCAGAGGCTCCTCCCGGGGACCCCGCGTGACCTTGGACAGGCTCGCCAGACACGCCGGCCTCCTAGGCATCCCCTAAACAGCGGAGCAGGGCTTCAGAGCTCAGGGGGCTGGACAGTCCAGGCAAGCAGCCTCTCGTCCGGACCCCCAGAAGGTGCGACACCAAGGGTGAACCCCGGCGGGGCTCCCTGTGGACTCGGGATGCCGCTGGGTCAGCGTGGGCTGCTGTTGTAGCAAAGCTACCCTGTGGTACCTGGCATGTGGGCGATGGAGGCCTGGCGGGGCAGGCGGTGTTTGTGAGGTCTCTGCACCTTCCCCTCCATTTTGCTGAGAACCTGGAAGTGCTCTAAGAAGTCAAGTTCTTTAAAACACTTTGGTGCGGGAGAAGGAGGGGCTGCTTGCTGGAATAACGTCCTCGTGAGGCCTGTCGTGAACGTTCCTTCTCTCCTACAACATCCCACCAGAGTTCAAGCCCACCCTGGACTTGGTGGCTTTATCACAAGTCTTCCCAGAAACCACAGATTTTCCTGCCGCCCTAAATCCTTAAGGTCCTTCACACCCAAAGATGAAAGAATCGAGGAGGGTGTCAGCACCCACTTTGTCATCCGCAGCACGTGCCGTACACCCGCGCCCTCAGTACCTGCTCCTGAGTCCCAGGACATCATGTCCTCGGGCCCAGGGCAGATTGATCCATGTGCACCTGCCCCTCGGTGCCCTCCCAGAGGTGCTGTCGGCCCGGGCGCAGAGCCTGACGTGGGACCGCCGTGCCTCCTCTCCTGCCTCTCTCTCCCCTCGTAACCTGCCCACAGAAACCCAGCAAGGCTGTGAGAACACCTGCAGCGTTCCTGGTGTCCACGGCCTTCGTCATCCCCCTAGAATTCCTCCAGGCATTTTAGGCTGAGCTCCCCACCTCCACTCTCGTTTCCTCACTCCCACTCCTCTCCAGTCTTCAGATTGCAGCCAAAATGTCTTAAAAATCCACTGCCACTCAGAATCCGCGAAGCTAATCCACCACTGTCACAAGCTAAGTACAAAATCGCGTGAACATATCAATAGAAGCGGAGAAGGCGTTGGACAGAACCCAACCGTGTTCATGACACAAACTCGCGTCCGACTAGGACAGAGGCGGACTCCATCAGCTTGATAAGGAGCACCCACAAAAACCCTGTCTTAGTGGTGTCGCCTCCCACCGCTCCTTCCCAGGACGCACTGGAAGTCCTGGCCCAAGAATAACACAAGGAAATGAAAGGAATGGAGCTTGGGAAGGGAGAAGTAAAAAGATCTTTGTCCACAAGTGTCATGATGGTCCATGTAGGACATCCCACTTCCGCGCTCAACGCCTACATCAAATTGTATTGAATACAGGATACACCTTGGGGTCCTTAAGATGTCATGTAAGCCCCAGGTTGTTCTGCAGACACGTTTGGCTGCGTAGTCCCTTGCTCGCTCTGTTCCACTTCCCCGACTGTGCAGAGCACCGAGGGCGGGTCTTCCACCTGCCCTTCCTTCCGTCTCCCTGGAGCTTCACGACTGGTCTTCCTTCTTCCAAGATCCCCTTCCCCAAATCCCAGTGCCTCTCCAGGGCCTTGACGGAAGCTGCCCTGTGCCCCACTCACCGGCTGGCACCCCAAACCCTGCTGGTCAGCCTCTAGAAGGTACAGATGTTGCTCAGACTAGGCACCCGCCGTGGGCAGGTGGGGAGACACCTATTGGTATAGGGGATGAAGTCACATGAACAGATTGTCCTGCTTTCCAAACCTCAAACAATGCTGAGGTGGGGTCTACACGGTTCCTTCAGGGACCCCAGCCAGGCGGAGCACCCAGTCTACAGGGGTGGCCAGCGTGGTAATGCGTCTGATCAACTTTCCCCCCATTCCTGGTGCTCCTCCACCTGGACTCACCTCCCGATGAACCGCCTGCACCCAGCAGCATGTCTCACGTGATATTTTTAAAAGTGACCCCCTCTGTGGACGAAAAGCCCCCTGGTCCTCAATTTCTCTTCCTGCTGCCTCATTATTGGTGCATAGAAATGCAACAGATTTCTGCAAGTTCACTTTGTGTCTTTTACTGAATTTATCAGTTTTAGCAGTTTTTGATGGAGATTTTTGGGTTTTCTATACAGAAAATCGTTCATCATCAAATAGTGAAAGCTTGACATCTTCCTAGCTGATTTGGATGCCTTTTATTTCTTTTTGTTGTCTCAGTGCTGTGGCTAGGGCTTCCGGGCTGTGTTGAATCAGAGTGATGAGGGCAGACATCCCTGTCTTGGTCCTGGCTATAGAGGAAAAGTGCTTCGTTTTTCCCTATTGAGGATGATATTCTGGGTTTTTCATCTAAGGTTTTTATTATGTTGAGATACATCCCCTCTAAACTTAACCTGTTGAGGGTTTTCACCATGGCTGGATGTTATGTTTTGTCAGTGCTTTTTAAATTTTTTTTTCTTTTTTAAGATTTTACTTATTTATTCATGACAGAGAGAGAGAGAGAGAGACAGGCAGAGGGAGAAGCAGGCCCCATGCAGGGAGTCCGATGTGGGACTCAGTGACTCCAGGATCACGCCCCGGGCTGAAGGCAGGTGCCAAACTGCTGAGCCACCCAGGCATCCCCTGTCAGTGCTTTTTCTGCATTTGTTGAAATGGTCACTTGGGGGGATCCCTGGGTGACTCAGTGGTTTGGCGCCTGCCTTTGGCCCAGGGCGTGATCCTGGAGTCCCGGGATCGAGTCCCACGTCAGGCTCCCGGCATGGAGCCTTCTCCCTCCTCCTGTGTCTCTGCCTCTCTCTCTCTCTCTCTCTGTCTATCACAAATAGATAAATAAATAAATCTTTAAAAAAAATAAATGGTCACTTGGTTCTTATCCTTTCTTTTAATAATGTGGTGTATCGCGTGATTGATTTGTTAATATTGAACCATCTTGGCAACCCAGGAATAACTCCCACTTGATCATGGTGAATAATTTATTTAATGTATTGTTTGATTCACTGTGCTAGTTTGTTATTGAGACTTTTTGATCTCTGTTAATCGGGGATATTGACCTTTAGTTCTCTCTCTCTCTCTCTCTTCCTCTCTCTCTCTCTCTTTGTAATGGGGTCTTTATCTGGTATTGGTATCAGGGTAATGCTGGCTTCATAGAATGAATTTGAAAGTTTTTCTTCCATTTCTTTTTTTTTTAGGGGGGGGGCATAATTTGAGAAGAATGGATATTAACTCTTCTTTAGATATCCAGTGGAATTGCTCTGGGAAGGCCATCTGGTCCTGGACTTTGTTTGTTGGCAGATTTTTGATTGCTGATTCAATTTGTTTGCTGGTTATCTGTCTGTTCCAGTTTCTTATTTTTCCTTTTTCCTTTTTGCTATTTTATCTATTTCTAGGAATTGATCTATTTCTTCCAGGTTCTAAGTTGCTGGCATATAATTTTTCATAATGTTCTCTTATAATCGTTGGTATTTCTGTGGTGTTTGTTGTTATTTCTCTTCTCTCATTTGTGATTTTATTTGGGTCCTTTCTCAACTTTCTTTTTTTAAAAGAGATTTTATTTATTTACTCATGAAAGACACAGAGAGAGAGGCAGAGACACAGGCAGAGAGAAAATCAGGCTCCATGCGGGGAGCCTGATGTGGGACTCAATCCCCCAGGGCCCCGGGATCCTGACTGGAGCCAAAGCAGATGCTCAACCACCGAGGCACCCAGGTGCCTTGCTGATTCAATTCCTTTGCTAGTTATGGGTCTGTTCACATTTTCTATTTCTTCCTATTTCAGTTTTGCTCGTTTGCACATTTCTAGGGATTTGTCCATTTCTTCCAGGTCTCCCAGTTTGTTAGCGTATAATCTTTCATAGTATTCCCTTATAATTGTCTTATTTTTCTGGTGTTGATTGTGATCTCTCCTCTCTCATTTGTGATTTTATTTACAGAAGGTCCCTTCTCTTTTCTTGTTGATGAGGCTGGCTAGGGCTTGATCCATTTTATTAAGTATTTTGAAGAACCGGCTCTTAGTTTCGCTATTCCATTCTACTGTTTTGTTGTTTCTGTATTGTCTATTTCTGCTCTCATCTTTATTATTTCCCTTCTGCTGCAGGCTTTAGGCTTTGTTGCTGTCCTTTTCCAGCTCCCTTAGGTGTAGGGTTAGGTTGTGTATTGGAGACTTCTTGTTTCTTGAGGTAGGCCTGTATCACTATGTACTTCCCTCTTAGGACTGTCTTTACTACATCCCAGAGGTTTGGAGAAACATGTTTTCATTTTCATTTGTTTCTATATATTTTCTAAATTCCCTCTTTAATTTCCTGGTTGCTCCATTCATTCTCTAGTAGGATGTTCATAATCTCCACGTATTTTTGGTCTGTCCAAATTTTTTCTTGCTCTTGACTTTGAGTTTCATGGTGTCGTGGTCTGAATATGTGCATGGTATGATCTCAATCTTCTTGTACCTGTTGAGGGCTGATTTGTGGCCCATGATGTGATCTGTTCTGGAGAGTGTCCCATGTGCACTTGAAACGAATATGTATTCTGCTGCTTTAGGATGAAATGTTCTGACTCTATCTGTTGAGTCCCTCTGGTCCAGAGAGTCAAGGCCATTGTTCCTCTGTTGACTTTTGCATAGATGATCGTAAGTGGATGTTAAAATCCCCTGTAGTTGTATTATTATCAGTGAGTTTCTGTATGTCTGTTGTTAATTGGTTTCTATATTTAGGTACTCCCATGTTGGTGGCATAAATATTTACAGTTGTTCGATCTGATAATCAGATAGAGATTGATAGTTTTCTTAATTATGAAATAATGCCCTTCTTCATCTCTTCTTACAGTATTTGTTCTTTCATTTTTTAACTTAAAGATTTTATTTATTT